CGACTCGCGCGCCTTTGGTGCTGGTGGAGGCTGGGCAGCGGGGAGCGGCGGCACGGGATCGAACTTCCGATGCAGCTCGTCGCGCGTCCGTCCCGGCTGCTTGGCCCAGCGGATCGGCTCCGACTGCTCAAACTCGCGCAGGATGCGGCGCAGCCGGTCGCCGTCCGCCCGCGCCTGCTCGGGAAGCTCGGGAAGCGACGCCGGCGCGGTGGGAGCGACGCAGCCCGCTTGCGGCAAGGCGCTCGAACGGAGCCAGGCGAGCTCGGCCTCGAGCGTGTGCCTCATGCGAGTGTAGCGGTCGCTAGATGAGACTGGCGGCACCGCGAGTGTAGCGGTCGCTCGATATATGGCGCGAAGAGAAGAATACCTTCCCCGGTTTACCGGTAGGAAGGCGTGTGGCGAATACAAAGTGGAGTCCCGCCCCGCAATAAGCGCAGTGTCCTCTTCAGCCTGCCGAGAGCCTCCAGGCACGCGCGCGCGCTCCGCCTGCCGCGCGGAGCGACTCGGTGGACGTCCGAGCCCGCCGCCCCTCGCCACTGCACCCTGCTGGCCCATGCAGCGCGACACCGCCGGCGCTGCGCCTGCTTCCTTGCGTGCCGGGGAACGTCGGCCGAAAAGAGTGCTTCCCTCTGGGGAACCGACTCCGCGAAGATCGCGCGCGCGTCGTGAATGCGGCGCGCGCGCGATCTCCGTCCCCGGGCACGCCGGTCGCAGTGGCATGGGATCCCAGGCTCAAAACAGCGCGCTCAACAGCGAGAGCGCCGCCGCTGCTCCTCCTCCCGCCGCCGCTCCGCTCACCGAGACGAACTCGGTGCCGCCGTTCTCGCCGCCGCCACCGCCGCCCCCGCCTCGCGCCTCGGCGCCTCGCGCGCGCGTCGCGAGTGGCGACGCGCGCTCCATCCTCGATCTCGGGCACGCACCGCTGGTCGTCTGAACCAGCGGTCGAAGTGGCCGATGGGATCCCAGGCTCAAGCAGAACCGGGTATGTTGGCGCCTCGGGCGGCGGTGGCGTATTTCGGACGACTGCTCGAGCCGCACGCCGTGCGGCTGCTCCAGGCGCTCGTGCGCGGCTGGCTCACGTGACGATGGAGGGAGACCGACACCGGCGAAAACGAGAGAGACCGGTCCGTGGCGTGCGACGTGCGCGCGCGGTCCGGCGGTGGCGGAGGACCCGGCTCGCGGGGCGCCACACGGTGGCGGAGGCTGAGACTGTCGTACAGACTGACAGCTTTTAGCAGCATAGCGTGTCCGTCCTGTGGCAGCTTACTCGCAGGCCTCCCCCTTTGGCAGCTTACTCGCAGGCCTCCCCCGTACTGCAATTTGTCAGTAGATGAAACGGTCTGGCGAGGTACTCCCACGCCTCTCGGGGTTTTTGTCTGGCCGAGCGGTCAACCCGAGATGCTGGGGCGAGCCTCGGCGAGACTGCGTCAGCTGTTCCCAGCCCCCGGTGCCTCGCACTTTGGCCGAGTTACTGGTCCTACGTCAGTACTGCGAGTCCTCGTACGTCACTCCGACGCTCTCTCCGCCCGCGCCCGCCGCGGCCCGCGCAGCCGCGCTGTCTCGTTCGGTGCCTGCTTTGGTTTTGAACACTAATTGCCCTCAATGTGTGTAGAGGAGGGGGTGGCCTGGCGCGGCGCACTTGGAGCACTTGGAGTGCATTCGAATTGTGCAATTCGAATTGTGCAAACTAAAAGTGCCCGTCAACGCACCCCTTTGCGCCCACCCACAGATGGGCACTCCCGTGTCGAATGCCAGAGACCTGTTGCGCGCCTTGATCTCCGAACCCACGGTCGCGGGCTGGCAATGGCTCGTTGCTCTCCTGCAAGAACAAATCCCTCCGCTTCCGCCTAAGCCACAGCCACCGTTCCCCGGGGCGGCCCGAGGACATTCGCGTCAAGAGCTTGAGCGGCTGGCTGGGCTGCTGCAGCTCAAAGTCGACATCAACACCGTCGGCAATGGCCCAGCCAACGCGCAGACAGTGACGGTCAAGATCAGCCTCCGCGATCTCGCTCCCGAGTTTCCTGACGGCGCACTCGCACCATTGAGTGCGTCTTCCATCCGGTCGAGGGGCGAGGCTATAAGTACAAGCGAGCCGAAGCGCTCGCATGTGAGGCTGTCGCGAGCGAGCTTCGGTTGTACACGCCCCCGCGGCAGGCCACGCGCCAAGAGAAGGACTGGATTGACCTGGGAGCGGTCTTGGCCTCGCTGATGCCCGTGCATCTGTTCTCCGACCCCCCCTCCACTTTCCTCAAGGGGTCGGTCGCCTCGTTTGATTACGAGGGATGCGGCTACCCGCTGGCGATATGCGCGACGGCCACAGGCGTTGCAATCGACCGAGCGACGCGCCCTTGGGTGAGGAATGCGGAAATGTCGGATGCGTTCGAGCAGATCCTCGGTTTCCTTCGTCAAGTACGGCCGCTACGCCCCCAAAGAGAACCTGCACATGAGGACGGACTGGGCTGCTGTGGCCAAGGCCGGGTCCTTGACGCACGAGCAGAAGATGTACTGCGTTGCTGACGGCGTCGCGCCGCTGCTGGTGCGCTCTTTTTTGAGCCTCCTCGAGCCAAGTCCAAGGCGCGAGCCAGCCGTCGACGCTTGTGCTGCGAGGG